ATAATAATGAGCTGCGGTTAGAGTTGAAAGAGTTCTTGAAGGTGTGACCTGATGCTAAGAGCCAAAGCATGGATTTCTTTCTCCACAACCCTGCTAAATAAACTAGCTTAAAATGGTTAGCTGATCTTAGTTGGTCTGTTGGCTGGTTTTAAGGGAATTTTGGACACTTTTTCCTCCCAACTAAATGCCAGCTTAGCCACGCCAGCTAAAGCAACTAACACGAGTAAACCAGCTTAGTAGTGTTGTGGAACTTAAGACCGGATGAGTCTGCCTCCATATTTTCATATGTTCTTGTCTTAGACACCAAAGCTGGTCTCAAGTACTATAACAATTCTGACATATCTGCTGTGTCTTTGGACTCCGGTCCTTGTGACACCGATGGAAATCCAGGCTTCATTCACCCTAAAGAAAAGCATACACTGTTTGAACTGTCTCTGTCTCAATTTGGTCTGGTCTTGTCCAGTCACGAGTACTTCAACACTGCAGGTTAAGCTGGTTCAAATTAGGGCTTTTTTATTAGCAGGGTAGAGAACCATTTGGCTCCTTATTGATAAATCGCCATATTTGTAAGTTTCAAAGGTGTTCTGTGGTCTTGGAACCGTCCAACATGCAAAAAGCTAATGCTAAGCATGCTAATAAGAAGAGGTTATATGAAGAGTTATATATGAAGAAAGAGAAGGGGTGTGTATGCAAAACCTGACTCCTCTTAAAAGAGATTGGTGGAGGAGTTGGTGTGACAAAATATGCAAAATCATTTGGGTGTGCTTTTGTTTGCTTGTAATACCACTTAAAGGACAACTCCGGCGCAAAATGAACCTTTGGTCTAATTACACATTGCTACCTAGTCAACCGTTATCTGAGATTTGTTTTCATGATTGCCGAATGTAAATAGTTTTATCTCTAAAAACAGTTTAGCCTATAGCGCTAGTATAATGCTAGTATTATAGGGCATAGAGTAATGACAAGTAAAAATCGCTTGTTATTACCACTAACACGGCTCAAAATAGCCCCACACTAACACGACAGCATAACAAGGATCCCTACATTCAAACCGAAGCATTGAGAACGTTGTCAGTGTCCATACAGTTTAATAAGAAGATATTTTATACACACAGTCAACTTCGCGAATACAGGAAGAAGCCATCTTTGAAAAATAGTCTCTACCAGTCGATCTACGAACGCAGATCCATGTGCGCTGAACTGTGCAGAATCTCATATGGTCCGTTGTTTTCGGAAGAAACACAAACACGAAGCGTTTTCTTCTCTTCAATATGTACACGTAGCCTACTGTTCGCGCTCACATTATCACCTTATTCACATCTCACCGGTGGACATGGATCGGCGTTCGTAGATCGACTGGTAGAGACTATTTTTCAAAGATGGCTTCTTCCTGTATTCGCAAAGTTGACTGTGTGTATAAAATATCTTCTTATTAAACTGTATGGACACTGACAAAGTTCTCAATGCTTCGGTTTGAATGTAGGGACCCTTGTTATGCTGTCGTTTTAGTGTGGGGCTATTTTGAGCCTTGTTAATGGTAATAACAAGCGATTTTTATTTGTCATTACTCTATGCCCTATATACTAGCATTATACTAGCGCTATAGGCTAAACTGTTTTTAGAGATAAAACTATTTACATTCGGCAATCATGAAAACAAATCTCAGATAACGGTTGACTAGGTAGCAATGTGTAATTAGACCAAAGGTTCATTTTGCGCCGGAGTTTTCCTTTAATCTAACAAACTGTTTGAATGCAATGAATATTTTAATATCGAATAAGCCAAGGGATATGAACCTAAAGTTCAGCTGTTTTGATCTTTGCATATCGATCAGGATGGAGGACTGTGTGCTTGTTCCCTTAGTGTCTTTGTCTGTTGTGTTTTTTTTAAATAAGTTTTTCATGCTATTTCATTTACATGTCTGTAAGAATGTATATTAAGTGTTATGTTTGTATTGTTTGACTATTACAGTGTTAATTCAACTCTCTGGCACTAATAAGCAGCTCTTGGCATCAGTTCGACTCAAATATAGAAAACAAACACTTGCCACAGATGAGCATCCATCCCTAACAATTCCTTCCATGTTAATTGGAGCTGGGAATGTCGTTCTTGTTCTTCTGATGTTGTTCATCAGAACATGAGCTATTGTATTCAGTTTTCAGAGAATGGGAACCATTTGGAAACCATTGCTTCATAGTGCCCTCTATTGGTTCATTCCTGCCATTGATCAAATGCACTGATAATGAATGCTGTTGATGGACAAATTTTATAAAAAAGTAATGGCTTCTTCAGATGCCACTCCAGAGTTACTAGGGGATTTGATAAGGAAGGGCAAGTGTTTGTTCAAACATGTTCTGTTGTAGTACCATGTTTAACATGGGCTTTTTTAGCACTTGGTTCAGGTTATGGAGATAGCATTTGACATATTTTTTTCATAAATAATAACATATTTATATTATACATATCAGTATTAATTTTTTGATGTAATTGTTGTTGTCATTATGCAATTTTGCGGTATCAGTATTTTGCAGAGGATTGGTGGCCTAATCGGTTTCATAAACTCTGTTTTTAGTCTAAAAGCACATCACGTCGTCTCACGTTCATCCCACATTTAGCAACAAGAATCACTCATATTCCGGAAATTATTAGTACTCTTTCTAAAGCATAAGCAAAGTTTTGTTTTCAGATAGCAAGGAGTTTGCAATAAAAATAATTATTTAAATAGGTATTTTGTTTTTCGGCAGTGTTCAAATGACTTTTTCTCATGAAAGCGAATAATGGACACTCCCAACCAAAAGCCAAAGGCGAATTCAGACCTTTGCGCTGACTGTTTTTTCCCCAAAACCCACAAGCTACCAGAATCTGACTGTAGTGCCACTATTTTTAGATTTCCCTCACATGATGACAGAGTCACACGCAAAACATAATAGTACCTGTCTTTAGCTTACACTTTAAAATTGTATTCAGGGATGTTTGTATGCCAAAGAAGCTCACAGTTTAATCTTTAAAGAGAATCTTATTTGAGATTGTGTAGCCTCCCATTTGTCTTTTACCCTTCAAGCCAGAAATCTCCCTTAAAACTGATAAATATTAAAATTCCACATATTTCTAAAGAACAAGTCCTCCCTTTTCCCAAAATCACAAGCATTTAATGTCATGATGACCCTTTTGAGATTAATGATTGATTATATAAAGTGATCACCATTGTGTCATTATTACGGATTTTATGTGCTATGATTTCAGAAGTCATTTGAAACTACAACAAAAAACTTGTCAAATAATAAGTGAAATTTGTGGCCATGTGTATGTAATATGTGTTTTCACTTAAAAAAAAAAAAAAAAGGAAATTTGGCTTGTTTGTGCATAATGGTTTCATGTGACATTGTGATATTTGCATGAAAATTTTCTTTGCCTCTGGGTAGGCCTAGCTTCTGAGGGTCAGTATAAATTCAGTGTTATCCTAATTATTATTGTTATTATTAAAATCTCCTTTTCAATGTCCGAGAATACAATGGACGATTGTTTTGACTATCAACTCGAAGTAGAAATGGGAGATTTTATAAATAACATGAGTATTTATATTTTTGTCACTCACTTCAATATGAAAATAATAAATTTTTTTGTATCGATTTCAATAATATATTTCCTATAGATGTTAAGATGTGCCTTATCAATGACCTGATGCAAAATAAAGGTTTGGGGAAACAAATGCCATAAGATGAAAATTATTTTATTTGTTTTTTAATTTTTTATTTTGATGTTTCTGTATCATATGTGATCTAAGTGAGAAAAGTCCTAAATTATCTGTCGTTTTCATTTGTCAATTACGTAACTTCAGTTTCTATGTAATATGTAAATCAGCATCCCCACAAGAAATAGAGCCAACCAAAAGTGAGCCTTTTTTATTGACACAAACCTTATCCTATCAGAGTGTGATACATTAGAGATTGGGCGGGACAAACACTGAGACCCTCAGTGAGAAGAAAGAAGAAGAAAGAACATAGAAAGAACATCTATAACAATAACAGTGAGTAGGCTACTGACTAGACTGGCCTCTGCAGATAGTTTAAAGCTGTCTGGAACAAAGTCTGCTAATCTTAAAGATGACTAATTGGCTTTAAAATGATTACTCACTGTTGTTTTCTATTTGTGTCCTTCTTGAAAATTTATAGTTCACCCAAAAATGAAAAATTATGAATCATTACTCACCCTCAAGTTGTTCCAAACCTGTATGAGTTTGTTTCTTCTGTTGAACACTGAAGATAATGTTGGTAATCTAACAGTTGATGGTAGCCATTGACTTCCATAGTAGGAAAAGAATGGCCTACAATGGAAGTCAATGGGTGCCGCCAAGTTACTAACATTTTTTTTTTTTAATATCTTATTTTGTGTTCAACAGAAGAAAGAAACACATGCAGGTTTGAAACAACAAAAATGTGAGTAAAAAAGGACATTTATTTATTTATTTTGAGTGAACTATACCTTTAAGCTTTTATCTGAGTAATAGTGAATCATCTAGACAGATAAAGTCTGAGGAAGTAAATTGAGGAAACGCGAATAAGGACATTCTTCAACAGCTTCTAAAATCTATTTTAAGGTAAACTGAACTCAGACGTGAGGGGATTTGTGACTGTACAAGTGCAAGAACATTTAATGAGGTTATCAGCTTGGTAGTGTCTGATTGGTTGTCTGTTGCTAAACAACTCAGTGATACTGGACACAAACCCGCATCATTTACTGTAGCCTACACCTTTGGCGTCGCACTTCGAGGTTAAAATTGTCGTTCAAAAAGTCATGACCAAAGATTAAAAGTGGTGCAACGTTGTTAAAAGTGACTGGGATTAAAAAAATAACAATGTTTTCACAGGGTTAAGTGTTCAATCAAAAGCTCTACATTAATAGCCTAGTTTAATAATGTGAAGAATGATCTGATACCTGCATCACCTGAACGCTGGGTACACAGTGACGCCATTCGCAAGGGGCGGGACTTATATAAGATCTCCCAAACAGTTACACGCAGGAGCCAAAGCGACGCCGGATACAAGACAGGCACCAAGCGGCATCGAACGAACAAAGCGCAACTTTTCGTCCCGGTTAAACCTGGACTTTAACTGAGAATGTCTTTGGGTGACCAGCAGTGGTATCCCACCAGCGTGCAGGTAACAGTGCTCAAAGCGCGAAACCTGCGGATCAAGGGCAAAAATGGAACGAACGACGCATATGCCATCATGCAGGTGGGCAAGGACAAGTTTTCCACGTCCGTAGAGGAGAAATGCGTATCGCCCGAATGGAAGGAAGAGGCGACGTTCGATCTGCCGCTCTTCCATCAGGGGAACGCGGAGCGATGCACGCTTTACATCATCGCGATGCACCGAGCCCTGGTGGGACTGGACAAGTTTTTGGGACAGGCTGTCATCAACTTAGTGGACCTCCACGCCAACAGAGCACGCAAAAAGACCGAGTGAGTGTCATTCTGTCCTACTGGGGAATAACATTGTCTCTTTGCGTTATAAAAAACATCCCACTATATGACTCAAAGATGTTAAAAGTTAAAGCGATAAGCTTTCAAACAGTTCATCAAAGTATGTTTTGGTCTCCTCTTTTGTATGGGCTGGATTCAGTAACGTTACCCCACCCTTCTAAAACAAATGTTCAAGTAAAAGTACAATTCGTCTCTTGGGTGTTTGTGTTTTCATGAACATTATAGGCGTACAGTAAGATTTAATCACGTACTGTATTAGGTGTGATGACTACTGGATCGATTCAGCTACGTCACACATCACTGATTTTTGTGTAGGCTATTAGTCAAAACTGTACTAACAAGAATTATTTTTAATCAACCTGTTCCTCATTTTCAAAGTTCTGTTTAGGTATACATTCACAAAATGTTTCTCCCCTCTCCACGCACTCAATACGAGTTAACATAATAGGCAAAAAGTCTGTCAAATAGGCTATGTGTGGGTTGTAAATAATGACACATCTACCATTCACTTCAAAGAATGAATTCTGAAGAATTAACAAATGTATTGAATTGTTAACACAGCAACACAGGGCCATAACCACCATAGATTTTGATGGAAATGATTGGAAAGGCCTAATTGTTGCCCCCATATTTACATTGTTTGATGCTGCACTTCATTACGCACCCACTCTGTTCGTAGGATGACAAAAAGTTTTAAGTTTTTATGCTGGTTTGCCTAAGCAGTATAATAGTGCTTGTCAATGTCAAAGTTTGAGACGGCCAATCAAATCAAACAAGGTTTGTAGTTTTTAAATGTGTTTAGGGATAGACCTGCCACCAAGATTTTGTTATAAGGTTGCTAAGGTGTTCTGAATGTTGCTGTATGGTTGCTAGGGTGTTGCTAGGTGTTTTTTTTAAAGAGCTCACCAGCAAATTCTTTTATGATCTCCTCCTCCTACATTTTGTCCATTATGTGAACATTGTAACTATTATCACAAAAAAACTCCAGAACATCTCAAAAAGCCACATGATTTGAGTTGTCATTCATTGAGTGAAAATCAGGGACAACTTACTGTGTGTGTATGTGCATGTGTGCGTGTGTATAATATTGGCCCTAACCCTGAATATGAGTAAAAGTCATGCTTGCCTCAATGCTTGGAAGTGATTATCAATTCTTGACAATAAATAGAACTAGTTCAACAGAAGATCTATAAATAACCAAGGCACCACAGAAACAGAACAGATGCCAGTGTAGGAAACGGAACACAAACTTTGTTCTTTTTTTCTTTCTTTTTGTTTGGTTTTAATGTAGTCATTGTTTAATCTTAATTTCTCTCCAGCTTTTCATTTTCACCTTTGGAAATGAGGGCTGCTCATATTCAAAAACAGAAGGCGTGAGGCCCTTTATTTGCATATTAGGTTGGCTTGCTGATTTGTCCAGTCGACTTCCTATTCTGGCCTTTGAGAGGGAGAACGGGAAGTGACCTGTCTTTTAGTCCTGTGGCCTCCAGCGCTTGAGGTCCTGTGCCGTTTGTTCTTGTGTGCCATCGGATTGTCGTACCCGTTTGATTCATTGCTCCATCAGAGTCTGCTTGTTCTGTTTGAACCAGTGGATCACACGCATGATCTTGACCGTGACCCCGTTTGTTGTTTGGTTTTGCTTGTTTAGTATTTGTACCTTTCGAGCACAGAAAAAGTGCAATAAAAATAAATATTATTATTATTGTTGTCGTTACTAGTAACTTGGCCCATTGAATCCATCATTGTCATTTAATCTCAAAATGTCAGTGTTTATAAGGGTGAGCTCAGCTTCATTGTAAAATTACTTGGTTCACATTTAATTTTTTTAGTCAAGATGATTCCTTCTAATTAGGCTAAGATAAAAATATGTGTCCCATAAGCCCTTTTTAAGTCTTTGTAATGTTACTTATAACAATTATTAATATCAGGAGCAACTGGTGGCAACTTCATTAGTGGATCTGTTAATTTTCTTGGGTGAGTTTTTTTTCTCCTCAGATATGCTTTTGAAAAGTCAGTTTGTTATTTTAAGCAAGCAAGTAAATGTGACTAATAGAGTAAAATGGTCCCATCACAATCTTACACAACCAACTGTATTACACATAATGCCGTTTTTACATTCCTCTCCACCCTTCCCAGCCCAGTACAACAAAACTTTACTAGTCATTAACTGACAGGCATGAGTGACACCCTAGGTTGGGATAGGTGTATATTAACATACATTGGTGTTTACTTTCCACCACCTTTAAGTGTGCGTGTGAACACGGTGTTCTTTTCCTTTGTTAGATCTGGTTCTTGCAGTTTAGTCAGTTCAATACTAATCCAACCTACACTAGAGGTACAACATTTATATAAAAACTGTGCTTATATGGCCTTATGTGAAGAAAATTAGGGTTTAAAAGGTCTGCTTGCAATCCATTAGAGTGACTAAATTATACTACAAATATATTATGATTGCATGAAAAATCCAATGTTCAATATATATATATGTGTGTGTGTGTGTGTGTTTATATATATATATATATGTGTATGTATATAAAATAATAATACAATTATTATTATTTATTTTTTTCACTGAAAGTACACTTTAAAAAATGCTGGGTTGTTTCAACCCTACATTTGGGTTTGTCCATAGTTGACCCAAATTTGAGTTGAAACAACCCAGTATTACAAAAAAGTTTGTTATTTTTCACTGAGGGCTGCTCTTCATTCAAATACAGAGGACCTTTTATTTGCCTATTTGTTTGACTTCCTAGTCTGGTTTAAACCAGAGAGTGAAAGGGACATGTAAGATCTGTCTATTTGCCTTGGGTTTGCCCCAGTTCACATGGTTGCCATTTAAAGCAGGTGTGTACTGTACCTGACTCTGTATGTAATGGTGAAGTATGTTAATAGTTGTGACGTCAATGTTTGGGTGTATCCATAGGCTTCCGAAGTAAAATAGGAATGCAAAGCTCCTTATGACATAATGAGATATAACCACTTAAAATGTGTGGTGATTTCAAGCAGGTGTGTTTTGAAGGAGGTCTTGGCATATCATTGAATGACTTTATTGTGTATCCCATAATAATCTCAAATCTGATAAGGCTTGTGCATATCATACGTTATGTAATCCAAGATAGGCTTTGTTCATTCTCTTCATGTTGTCTGTCTGTGATCCAAAATAGATTAATTTATTGAATATGAGTGATCCTTCCTCACAGCATCATCATCAAATCCAGAGCCATTGAGGTTTCTAGTCTAATTTATTTTGTAATCAAAATGGCCTCCATATTAATTTCTTATCAGATACTATAGGCCATCTTGAGAAAGCTGTAAATGTTGGCACTGGCACTTTGTTTGTGCACTGCGACCACTTTTTGCTCCTAAAACACTAGCGATCTCTCTTTCTTTCTCGTTCTTTCTCCCTCTCGTTACGAACACAGAAGGGATTGAATTTTGCCTTCTCTTTTTCTTCGAGTCTGCTGGTGTTGTGTTACTGTCCTACTTCAGGGTAATGTTGATATGGCAGCTTTGACATTGTGGTGCGGGACAGCTGATCATTGTCTCTTCTAAGAATATCCAATATGAGACACAAATGCTATATAATTGCAGGATTAATGCTATAGTAATAAGACAGTTCTTATCTAAATTTAATATGGCATTTTCCCCCTTTCAAGGGATTTTTTCTATTTTAAAGTCATATTTTATCACCTCTACATCTTTTGATTCTCCATCGTATGTTAGTCTTCAGTCCGGGTTTATTTAGACTAAGGTGTGGTTAATTCCTAACCCCAGTGGATCATTTTTCAAATGATTTTGCTATAGCTTTATCTAGGCCAACTATTCCCATGTCATATGACCTCTCAAGCTCTTTATGAAATCATTTGTTATCCCATAAATAAAAGAGCAGATGAAACTTGCTGCACCCATTTGTTTTGCAGTCTCACATGGCTGTGCCCTTGGTTTAAAGTTTCTCTGTAAACATGGTATTATGTACCTGAAACAAATAAAAGGGAATCGGTGTGAACTCATGGTTCCTGTTAACCCTCATGTGCCCCATTCACAGCCAGGATAAGCGAGTTTAATTCAAATTTAAACTAAATTATTAATTTAAATCAGTATTTTATGTTTATCATTTATATTTGCTTTCTTTTTTAGAGGAATAGTTTTCAGTGAGGATTAAATACTCTGCATAGCTCAGTGTTTTTAACAGCAGTGTTATTTTATTAAGATGAAGTCCTCTGAGAGCATTTAATAGTTTTATTTTTGACATTTTCCTCTTGTATGGTTACATTTTAATTACTGAATGTGCCATACTGGACTGCCGTTTTGCTAAACTGTGTGGGGATTTTTGGGCTGGCGACCTGGCGTCTCATTCCCCATTGACTACCATAGTATGTATTTTTCATACTATGGTAGTCAATGGGGAATGAGATCTGTTTGATTAAAACATTCTTCCAAATATCTTCCTTTGTGTTCAGCAGAACAAATAAACACAAAGAGGTTTGGAACAACCTGAGGGTGAGTAAATACTAGGGCTGTACGATATTGGTAAAAAATGGCATTGCGATATTTTATATTTCCGCGATATTACATCACAGATGACTTGAATAGCTCTATTTGGAAAGAATGAATCATTCTAGAATGACTGGGGTGGTTTTGTCATGGAGTAAATCAGCATAGAAACTAATATTAATTGAATGTTGTTAACAGGATGCAGCACATTAGTGGTGGTTGAGGAGAGTCCCCTTCCCCCTATATAAAGCACTTTGAGTGCAGAGAAAAGTGTTATATAAATGTAATGAATTACTATTATTAATGTAATTTACTAGACTTTAATAAATGGAACCTTATTGTAAAGTGTTTCCGATTTATGTATCTTGAGTTCAGTGTTGAATAGATCAGTTGTTTTAACCATTCATTAAAGTGAATCGGTTCAAATGAGTCATTAGTTCGCGAATCAGACGTGTCATTAACGGACCACGCGACGCCACACGTTG